CCAGTGTGTAACATTTAAGAGGATCTATTGGCAGAAATAGAATATAATATTCATACGTATGTTTTCATTGGTGTATAATCACGTATCTTTGTATTTTCATTATCTTAGAATGAGCCGTTTTTATCTACAATCTACAAAGGGGGCTATAAGCTACAGCCATAGACTGTATAATAAATCATGAGTGTGGAAAGTGAAGGCAGTGCTGAAGTGCCTTAAATCTCATTATTTCGAATGGCCAGCAGGGTAGTAGTATTATTAGTAGTATTAGTAGTAGAAGTATTTATGAGAAAATTACCTTACTATTCACTTGATTTATTACCTCTGTAAACTGTTTCCTAATTAGTTTATGGTCTCAGTTGCTACTTTCAAGTGCTCTTCGATGTAGCATGATTTTTGTAATTGTGTAAGTTATTGTCCTATTTAGAGTAAGATATACAATAAAGCAGGGTATGCTTCAGAGCGTAGCTACCTTGTGATTAACAAGTCGCTACCGTGGCGTGTCCTCGGGTTCTCTGAAGTGCAAAAGGCGCAATGCACCAGGCTCATGAAACTTAGATCAAACTGTCAAACTAGGCAGTTCTGATCAAATATGAATCAAAATGCTGTTACTGCATTGCCTATTTCTCATCTCAAATGTTTTCAGAAACATAATTTAGTATATTGTTTATCTGTAAGAAAGTTTGTGACCTAACTATTTTTTTTCTGCTTGAAAACCAAACACCGCCCAACTCACAGAAACATGCAATGCTATTGTTATAATTGCAATGCTATAATTGAGACTCGAAATCACAAGATTGCGTGAAACTGCGCTTGTGTTCAAACCACAGTGGTTTAGACCAATCAACATCCTTTGACGATCTACTGGCATTTCCGGGCGTGGTTTAATGCTAGGTGTGTGTGAAAAGTGACTGCTTGAAAACGCCCACGATAGAGAGATGATTCAACCAAACACCTGCCAAGTATTTTTTGAGAGTGCCTTTTCCAAACGGTTTCCGAACTTCCCAGATGGTTCTGTGTAACAAACCCTCTGGAGGATGGGTGACGTCAAAGTAGGTTCACACTAAGCTACAGATAGCAGTTACCGGCACAAGTTTGTGTCTCGGTGCCCCTGTTGGCCCAGCTGTTAAACACATGCATCTGTCCTCCCACACAGAGGATTGGAGACCAAAGGAACATTTTTGATACATTTCCCTTTTTATACACTTTCAAAACTAAAACATTTCACGCTTCACTTTTACATGATTTTTGACTGCATAAAGAAAGTTTACAATTTCTGATTTTGGCTGTACTTCAAAGTGTGGAGGAATTTTACAGCTGTCGTGATACAGAGTGATTGCATTCTGAATGCACTTGCAGCTACCGATGGTTCACAAGGCTTGTTTCCAATTTACCATGATTAGTCATCCACTCTCCTACTCAAGTGCTTGCAGATATGGATTTGCGTTTCAGTGTCTGTTTCATCTTCAGGAACCCAGTGTGTAACTCAATTTGCCTCTGGCTTCACGATGATTGATTGATTATTTGAGTTAGCTCTTTCTCTTAATGAAGACTGAGGACTAGTGACAATCGCTCAATTACACTTTACTGTACATAAAAGAGCAGGGAGCCTAGATCTATTTCTTACCTTATCACTGTGTCATGTACAGGCCAATAAAAGCTTTGTACACATTATTATTGACTTTGTTTTGCAGCCTTTTCTCAGCCGTCGTCGTAAACGTGATCTGACATGACAAATTCAGCTCATTTTAAAACTCATTTATCGTCAAATGGCATCTGACTTAGAGGCAGGAGGAAAGGTTGAGTTGAGATCCAGAAATGTTTCTCAATGATTCCTTATACAGCCTATCAGGATTATCAGCTAGACCTCTGTGGAAATGGAAATCAGTTTGAATTAGTGCACAGGAGATGTACATGTGGCAGCAGTAATGGGTTTTGTACTGAGTGATGCAACGCAGCAGAACTGCCTCCCAACCCCCAAGGCTATCTGTCAGTCAGAGATGGGAAAATACATGGGGAGGGAAGCAACAGTCATGGAAGGAAGGAAAGAACAAAAAGAAGGGGTGAAGTGTACCTGTCCAGGATCAGAATAGGAAGCGAGAACAAAGTGAAGACATTGGGAGGAGCAGGGACAATGAAAGGGAGAGGTGAAGAGAAGAGGGCAGGCCAGGCTAAACTCTAAATTCTGTCCGTTTCTGCTCTAAGAGAGCCCAAACTGCAGGGATGAGGAAAGGTGATGATGAGGGCACGTCTGTTTTTTCCTCAGCTTTTAGACAGGGATAGACAGGTGGAGTGAAAAAAGGACACATGGAAAGGTGAAGGCAGAGGAGGAAGAAAGAGAGGAGGGGGGTGTGTTCATGGCAGAGTGGCATAACAAGCCCAGGAGGGTGCAGAGAAAAGTCTGTCCTCTTGTTCCTCACTTTGTCCTCCGAGAGCTGCCTTAATAGAGCCCTTGTTTCCAGGCTGCCACTCAGGATAACGAGTAGAATAACTGCAGTCTCTCTTTCTCCTCCTTTGCCTGTTCCTCCTCCATCTCTTCCTGCTACTTCCTCCTACTCATCTAGCTCATCCTCCTCTTTTCGTGGCATTTCTCTGTCAGTTTCCATGTCCTTGCAGTCAGTAAGATAACTTCAAAATAACTGTTCTTCCGTAGCCTTGACCTCTCCGGGTGATGGACACCGAAAGCTAGATTTTATTTTGTTTGTGTAGTCTTTTTATTTTTTATTTTTCAAACCTGAGAGAAGAAAAACATGACATGATTTAACAAGTGAAAATACAGCACCATCCACATCTATGATTCAACAAAAGCAAAGCCCTCATGATTCAGTAGAGACAGAGCTTCCAGGCAGTGCCTTTGTCTGATTGTCATCGCTGATGATTTAATTACAATATTCCATTATCATTTACCCACGATGATAAAAGAGAAGGCGAGACTTTTGCAAGCGTGTTGTATCCTTGCTGTACCTCACACATTCAATTTTATCAAGTCCAAGCTGCGACAACAGTTGAGTTTCGCTGTCCTAAAACACGGCAGTACTTTAAAAAGTTGATTTGACAGCAGGCTGAGAAGCGTTATGCCATAATTGTAGCTGACAGGTTTGGCTGATATAAAAGAGAAAACGACAAATCTTTTTGTTGAGGGTGTAACCCTCTGTTGTTATAGCCAGACAGTCAAGCCTTTAAAAAAAAAATGCCTGAATGAAACTGGCTGAAAATAACCCATTTGCATATTTTTAGACTTACTTCACCATCAGTGTCTGTTATAAATAGTATCTGACTGCTTTTTTGTACTTTAAACAATTTCATACAGTCTTATGAGGGAGAAGAGGATGATTCGAACAAATTCAGTTTCATTTTTTTTTTATATATACTGGCAATATACCTGATCCAGTTTTTCCCTTTAAAAGCTCTCTGTGCTTTTATCACACTGGAATTCACAGGCAACAAAGAGCATTGGATATTTCTCTTCAGGAGTGGGGAGAATTTATATTAATTTTCAAAGATATGCTAGTTATACTATTTGCTGTAGACTCATGGTTTTTAAGCAGTGTCCTTTTAACACGGCATTGCTATCCTCAGGGGAGAAAATGAGGTGCTCTGCTCTAACCAAACTGATGTAATTACTGAAAAGTGAGCTTTCTCTTTAAAGTCTGCCGCACTGAAAAAGAGTGAGCCTTTTGAACCCAGCCAGTATAGAACACAGAAAAAAAGGGGAATGTGCTGTAGGTTTTTTTATAGCAAACCTGCTACTCAGACAAATTCGGGTAATTTTTAAATAGATAAGGCCCTAATCTGCGGGACATTTGATCAACGGTTAATCTGCTGCAGAAATTCTATTAAAAGGCTGAGGGCTCATTAGCCAATAGATCTTAATCCCATTACCGCCTGGGCGGTGGGGGACCATGAGCCCGACTGCCTGTCGCTCTATGGGGGATACTGTTGCAGGCAGTCGTGGAGAAGGTCAGACACGGCACACTGCCATTTTCATAATGAGAGCAGAGCATCATGCATCATGCGCAATCATAAAAAAGCCATCACTAGCTATGCAGACACATTTAATCACGGTGCATGTCTGGGCTAACATATTTAGCCCTACTGTGTAATAACAGGCTTTATTTCCTCTCTCGTGTGGGCCTGGCCCCTCGGTTTAATTAAATGTTAGCTGAAATATCAGAGTGATTTGTCTCTCTGTGTGTATTATGCTCATTGTTGAAAATTGTATTGGATTTGTTCTTGGTTGATGTTTGTAGGAAAGTTGCAAGGTTGCTTGTTGAAATAAAAGCGTTGGCCTGCTGCAAACAGAACGAGGAGTGAGACAGGGGAAAAAAGAGAAACAAAGAAAGGCAGTTAATAGAGAATGACGGGGAGGCAAAACACAAGAATACAGAGAAAAGAGTCAGAGCATGTAATCTATGTCTTTTGTTAAAGACGAGAGCTGAAGGAGGTGGCAGAGTCAAGGATAAGTGGAGCTCTGCGAAAACAGACATCAGCTCCATCTATTGACAAACACCCACAGGATGTTTGAAGGTGTGTCAAAAGCTACTTTGCTTAGCTTCTTTGTACATCACCTTATAAAAACTACTTATGCCTAAAATTCAATGAAAGTCCGAACACACCTTGGAATTTATATGTTTGCCTGTTTGTGTTGGAGGATTAGACTGCACAGGATTTTTTTTTTTGCTAGCATTTCAAAATACCCGGCCTGTTAAATCTCTGGCTTCTAACAAAAAGCTTGTTATATAAGATTCATTCATTCTGTGCTGTCTTTTATTGATACAGATGTCCTTCTCTCGCTATGCAACTGAGCCTGATCAATAAAGCCTACGGACTAGATTTAGTCAAGACACGTTGTTTTATCAATTATGAATCAGTCAATGTTGAAAATGCCTACCAGGCAAGAATTGAGCTCAATAAACCATTCACTGTAAAGAGCATATTTTGAAACCAACATGATAGTGACTGTATATGGATGTCTTATTGTTCGTCTCTTGTCTTCTCTTCAGATATTGATGAGTGTGCGGACGGCTTTGTCGAGTGTGATACTAAATCTACTTGTGTCAACTTGCCCGGCTGGTACCACTGTGAGTGCCGTGATGGCTACCATGACAACGGCTTATTTTCTGCCAATGGGGAATCTTGTGTAGGTGAGTGGTCCACCTTCACTCTTTTACACAAATAATATGGTGAAAAAGTTGTAATTGTTCATGTGATTTTAGGATTGCAACTTGGATAGGTTGAGGGGAATCAAATCTACGACACAAAAGAAAATGTTGTCACCAGAAATGTACTGGTGAATTCATCACTTGCAAAGCAGACTTTTAGAGGTCAAATGTAAGACAAATACTATGTGAAAACAGAACTAAAATTTAATTCATTTCTCTTCATTCATTTCATGAATGTTTCATGTCAAGAAAACATGATTTTAACCCTTTATACCTTTTAGCATTGAAAGAATATGGCCCCTTTTTTATGGATCTTATAGCTCCTATGTCAGTCCCAGATTGGGTCTTCTCTTGTATTTCAGAATTGAAAGGTTCAAGGTACAGAAGGAGCACTGAAAATAGTGCCTTTTAATTAAGTAGAACTTTGTTGAAGTATGTGAGTCAGCCGGCATCAGCAACTTTTGTTTTATAAGATGTTTTGTTACGCTTGTGTAAGTAATGGTATGATTGGGTAGGTCTGTCATTATCAGTGTGTTTTCTTCCCAAAACGTCAGTTTGCTTTTTGCAGCCTGTTCATTTTCTGGAACATTCTCTCTGATACAGCCTGTCAGAAGAAGTGTCAGCTGTCAAAATAGAAACCCTCAATCTACAGTAACATCGAAGCATTGCCTGTAACAATAGTGCTAGTGCTGCTCCACTCGTTGACCCCATCTTGGCTGTCAGTTTGAGTTGGGCGAGGCAGGAAAAGAAGCACATTAAAGGCACTCTCAAAAAACCGAACCTGTCTGGGTTTGACAAAGCAAAGTTATAATTTGACCAAAAGTAGGTTTCTGGGTTACATTACTGTATGTTTCCCCCAAGATCTGAAAAATGTTGTATTGCTATATTTTACAGCTGCATTTGAAGCTCTGACACTGTTGTGTATCGTGACTCATGGGGGCAGAGAGCAGGTCATGTCTTGCTCAAGAGGACAAAGATGTGGTTATTGGACTTAAAACCGTTCTGCGACAGGACATGCCCCTGCCATGTTACTAAGGCAAACATTTTGTGGCTTGTAATTTTAAAAAAAATCTCCATTTCCACAAGCGGTGCATAAACTGTGTTACCTGCACCGAGCATATGTATGATGTCATCTGTTTTGTGCTCCCTGCAGATATTAATGAATGCAAGACGGGGAGGAACACCTGTGCCAATGACACAGTGTGCTTCAACCTGGAGGGAGGCTATGACTGCCGGTGCCCCCACGGGCACAACTGCACCGGAGACTGTATCCATGACAACAAGGTCAAGCACAGTGGGCAGATCTGGGTGCTGGACAGTGATAGGTGCTCTGTGTGCTCCTGTCAGGTAAGAAGCAGTGGGAGATGGACACAAAGAGGAGAGACAGACAGAGAACAGCCAAACCTAAGGTAGATGGATTTGATGAAACAGACAGAGATAGACAAGTGGAAAGATGGATATGATACAAAAAAAGATAGAGGCAGATAGAAAGAGAGGAAATGTGCCCAGTGCTATAGATGAGAAATGATGTTCCCTCGCGCTGTTACTACTGTATAATGTGTATACAACTGGTGTCTAAACAAAGAATAACAAAGCAACGGTAAACCTGCCATCCCTCACAGGGCCACCAGCATATGTCACCTTATTCTGAACTCTAACTTATAATGCTGCCTGTGAACCAGTGACATATTATAAATGAAGCACAGTTGGTTTTTAAATTAGACATGACGTGATGGTGGATGCAGGACAAATGCCATGCCACTTTTGGGTTAATAGTGGTGTTACCCAGTGACATCAGCATTTACGACAGCAATAGTTTGCACCAAAATTCAGTTAATTTGAATGAAATCACACAAACAGGAGCATTCTCAGGTTTAAATTTGAAAAACTTTGATGCACAAATTTGAAGGGGAATTAAGTTTCTTTTGCAAATGCTGTTTTATTCACTACTTCTTCTAAAATTAAACAATGAGAGATGACTACTGGCTAGTATAATGTATAAGGGGTCACTCGTGGGGATCAATCCAGAGATAACTGTCACCGACTCTGTTGTCGCTGTCGGTTCTACAAAGCTTAGCTGGCGAGCTAGCTCCTGGCACCGTCTGTAATTGCAGATTACAGAAATTACAATCCACTGATACGACACATTAGTGAACAAACAATTTAGAAAGTGAGACCCAAGTTATCTTTGGAAATATTAGAATGCAGTGATATACTTAATTTAATAAGATGAATCAAATTCAGCTTTAAAACAAATGTGAAGGATAGTGTGTAGAAATGAAAGGAGACAAAAAGTGAGTGCAGAGGAAACACTGGCACAATAAACTCTGTGTAACAGTGCTGCTGACAATGACAGTGACTTTATGACGATCAATTTAATTAAAGAGCATGAGCTATATATAGTAATTCTACCAGAGTGACTCAGGCTTTTGATGTAGTTGTTTTGATTGATTTCTGACACCACACTGACAAGGCATCTGGGAACAGTTGAGCCAGAAAACTCATTCCATCATCCCAAACACATTTTTTCTCCATGATTATCAGGTCACAGACCAGTCATACTTTGCATTTCAGCGTTTCACTCAACCTAATGCCAAGCGTCTGGCAGTAGTGGAAGGTGATTATAGTGGATTAGTGTCGGTAGTGAATGATCAAGCTGCAAATTATTCATTTGATTACAAAGGACCAGGGCAGAAATGGCTCTCTAATTAAATGAGTCATATTAATTGATTTGAGAGATTGAGGAGCTGCCTGTCAAAATTAGTTGTATTGAGCGGTCGAGGGAGCAAAGGAGTAAACATGTTATTGTTTTGGTGGTGGGCGGACACAGCTGGATATTAGATGGAGAGCTGCGACTAACTGATGGGAGAAACCAAGGTCAAACATAAAACAGAAAAGACAAAAACCGGGATGTGTCCAGGCTGAGGTTGTGCAATATGCAAATAGTTTATTGTTTCAATCTGCTTGGAGCACCAGATGGGTGGGGTTTACCGCATCAGTGCATCTGTCAGCGAGGTCGCTAATTTCCAAAAGGTTTCAAAAATCAAAGTGCTTTTATTTAATTGGCAGGGGAAAAATCAATTTACAGAAACTCTAGGTATTGCTGCAGTTGCTGGGCTTTGAAGTGGTCCAGAATCCTAAATGAGACAGAAACAAAAGAAAAACTATCTACAATTGAAATTAATATTTGGGCAGCAAAGACCCTGCTGGTTTAAATGTCGATTTTTATTTGTCATGAATTATATACATTTTTTGTTCTCATAAATTTAAATATTTCTATCTATCTTAGGTGGCTGTCTATATCTGGCTCCAATTACAACATAGATTTATTTATATATATATATATATATATATATGTTTTTATTCAAACTTTATTTAGTCAGGAAAGCATCATTGAAATTAGAAATAAATTTTTAATAAGTTTCATGGCTAAAATAGGAAGCAAAAACTGTGACAGACTAAAAGTATAAGAAACAGAAAACACTAAGAATGTCCCAGGATTCGAATTAAACAACAAGGAGATCATCATAATGATTAAAATTCCCAATAAGAATCATAAGATGGGGTTAACTTTTGTGAACGCCAACATATTACTTAAGCTATGTATCGATTATCAACATAATTGCTAATTGTGTGTGTCTGTCCAACATTGGGTCTGGAAGTACTTTATTTATTTCCTTTATGGCTTAGTTACACATTAAAGGGGCATATGTGAGTAGGAGAGGAGTAAGTATGTGACAAGGTAATGACTTGAATTCAGACCCACAGCAGTTCACGTATACGTTGAAGGCAACTTAAATCACAGAGACAACAAAGACAGCCAAGTAGCACTTCTTCAAACACCACAGTAATGAACAGGAACTCCTGAAAAACCACTGTTCATCAGTATTCATAAAATATATTTCAATCTGGTGTGTCTTGCCTACAGTGGCAACAGTGAGACTGAATAACCGTAAAAATACAGCTTCAAAACAGTTGCTAGAGACGGGGCTACACAGCCTTTATTACAATATTTATTATCAACATACATGTTTAATGATCCCATCAAACAAATGGCCTTGTCTGTGCATGCGTGTATATGCGTGCTTATGTCTGTGTTCAATCTTTAATTATGCTCATTTGTTTGTGCCCCCCCACCCCACCCGCTCAGGCTGGCCAGGTGATGTGCCGCAGGATGGTTTGCGACTGCGACAACCCCAACGCCGACCTGTTCTGCTGCCCCGAGTGCGACCCTCGACTGAGCAGCCAGTGTCTGCACCAGAACGGCCTGCTCACCTACGGCAGCGGGGACACATGGGTGGAGAACTGCCAGCAGTGCCAGTGCCTGGTGAGTCGGGTCGGATACAAACCCCCCCCCACCACGTTCATGAAACTTACATTGCAGGAATTTAGTCGATCACTTTATTCAGGGCCAGTTATGGTGAGAAGTAAAACAACACATGCATTCATTCTTGCGCAACAGTGCCCACACAAGAAATGTAACAAATACTCCGGTCTCCATGGAAATGCGAGAGATTTTGTGCTCTGTAAAGAAAGTCAAGGAGAGAAGTTTTGTAGCAGAAGAGAGCGGGAGTGATCGAGAGGTGAGTAGGAAGGTTGCAGAGAGGAGAAAATGAAGATTGCTTTTCATCTTGTGGCAGAAAGAAAGAGAGTGAGTGATTAGTGAGATTTTACAGAATTCAAAAGCCCCTTTGCACTGTTGTCTGCTGTGATGGAATTATACATTATATTGAAGGATACTTCCAAGGTTAAGAGAACAAGAGAAAATGCGTGTGCCTCGAGTGTGGGAGGGTGTTGGGAGGGTGTGTTTCATCTGTGTGTGCTTTGAGAGTATGCTTGTGTTGATTGATGAGCATTTGCACCATGTATGTTTTCTGTGGCGCCGAGTGTCCTCTGCATGCCTGCGAGTCCTATTTCTCACACAAAACAGCATCGTGTTTGCCACATGAATCTTTCACAGTAAGACATATGCGCTATTTTCTGTGCGTGTCAACCTTTTTTGACGCCCCTCCCACCGCCTTGGAGGCTGTCCTGCCCAACTTCAGCAGGCAATTGGCTGACACGAGACGGTTTGTCAGCTGATTAAGCTCACCTGGATACTTAGGCTATGAAAGCTGGCTCGTGTGTTCCCTGCATCTTTTTGTTCTGTCTTGTCCTATGATTTGTGTTCATCTTAGCATAATAAATTACTCTTGTTTTAAGAAAATCTCTTGCGCTGACTTCCTATTCGTCACATTCCCTGAGCTTGTTTGTGACAAGGTTTAGGCAGCGCTGCCGTTCAAACGACGGGGAACCATTTCCTAAGTGTTTCTCAATAAAACCTGACAACAACAATAAATCCTACCTGCGATGCCCCTCTCAACGTGTAGACATATGCATATTAAATGCAAATGTCATGCTTTACATCCTACCCCAGCGTCTTGGCTCACCCACACTCAGCTGTGCCACACACCCACACCAGTGTCAGTCCTTCTGTTCAGTGACTCACAAATCATCTTCACTGTGGATCTCAGAAAAGCACTTTACACCTCCCTTTTCTTATTTCCCCCCCATTTTGTTGCTTTTAAAGATCAGCCATACTTGTAGCTAATATAAGTTGGATACAGTGTGACAGATTTAGTAGCAACAGCAATGCCATTTCCTCCCTCCCTCCATGCCATTATAATGCTGTCCTGATGCCCGGACCTGAGGCCTGCTTTTTGGATTTCTTACAGTGTGCCATTATTGAAGAGCTTGAAAATCACTGCTCGGCTGAGAGGCAGCGGGGAAGCACAGTCGGCTGAAAATGGGTTCGCTCGGCTTCACTCACTGTAGGCACTTATATATGTTGACACAAACAACACTAACGTTTGAGAATGCAGGCACCCCGGTCACAGCACCAGAGCGCACATACGGTATACAAACATGCATATGTACGTAGTATAAACGTGTAAACACACGTGTACTCATGTTTGAGGATGTAGGCACACCTGTCACCACGGCTACACATGCTTTCATACATCCACGCATATCCACACGCGCACACACACACAGACAGACATAAAACACACTCAATTAAAGATGCAGAGAGACATACGCACACGGCAAAGGGACCACCAGCTGCACAGTATAAAGAGCAGCACTTGAAAGGGCAGGGAGAAGGCTGCTGTGCGATATCGTACAGGGGCTCCGGTAGCGTGACAGGGACGTGAAATGAACCTTGAATGCTGCTACACTTAGCAGAGCCATGGCTGTCCAGCCTCGGCAGGGGCCTTAAAATACACAGTGACAGCAGGCAGATGGGCAAAAATATTCTCCAAGACCAAGATGTGAATCCTTCTCCTGCTACCAGTACAGTCTTTTGACATCGAGAGTGTGGCCTTTGCAGAATATGCACATATGGGCCACTTGTGATTTGCTATCTTGTTAAATCGCCAGAAGATCAAAGAAGCATGGTTTTTCCACAGCCATAGGTTGTACTTTAGGTCGAGGCGCATTAAAAGAAACGAGCGCGATTGCTGCAGGCTAATTCCCAGGCAAAGATAAATGTCACTAGTTTTAATCTCCTGGAGGCATTTTGTATCATGAGTTAATCCTTATATCTGTCTATGTAAAAACAAATAGATTAAATTACAGTGAGATACTGTGAACACTGAATGCAAAGCCAGATTAAAATAATAACCTTCTGAAATATCACAAAGAAATGAAAAGACCTGCTTCAGTTTTTAGGCTGATTAAGTTTCCACCCCACACTTCTCTGTATGAAAGGCAAATAAAAGCTGATTGTATGGCAAATCTCTTTCCCCTTTGTGATCATAGGCCACATCTGCATAAACAGACAAAGATGACAGTGTCTCTTATCACAGCGTGGGACAGATACCTGAGGCTACATTCAATCCCTCCATCTTGCTATGAGCAAAGAGTGCCACTCAGGGGGGGGATCTCCCACTTCAAATGTTTACACACTACACAGAGGTAGGGAGTGGGCATTAGTACCACGTGAGCCTGTGCTTTATAGCCAGCCTAATTTACAACAACGTTTCAAAAATGCTGAGCCGGACGATTTTCAGTGATATTAAATATCCCCAGTGGGATACTTGCATCGAGCCTCTTGTAACTTTATGTGTGTGTATGGCTTTTGTGTCAGCTTTTGTGTTTAAACATATACAGTTTGAGCTCGTATTTCATTTCCGGAGTGGGCGTGAAGTGGAAAATGCTCACGGATGACAGCATGAGCAGAAGTGGGTCACGCCAGAATGATATAGCGTACAGTAGGTAGGATGTGTAACGTTGGCCAAACTTTATATGAACTGATTCATCAGGCCAATAGAAAATGGTAGCAGGAGAAATCCAATAAGGCTCCGTGTGCTGAAAGTTTGCTGTGAGATTAATATGGGAACAACAATGAGAGTGGGGGACTAGAACAAGTCAATTAAAAAAGCAGGAGCATTTACCTCCACAGTCTGAAAAAAAAAAATGCTGACTGTGTCAGAAGATTGCTCTGCTCATCTATATTTTCCAGGTACCTTAACAACTTATTTTTTTCTTCATCAGGAGGAGACGATCCCTCTAGCATGCAAATACACAGTGTCAGGAGAAATATGTGTATTTGCATGAATAACTTGTTCAGCCCTGGAAAATGCAATAGTGCATTTGCAGACATTACTTAGAAATTTCTCTCCTTTTCTCCCCTCCCGTCTTTCCACCTCAAATTGTGTCTCTTCGCCTCCACAGCAGGGGCAGGTGGACTGCTGGCCTCTGCCGTGCCCGCCTGTGGACTGCGAGTTTACCGTGGTGCCTGAGGGCGAGTGCTGTCCCCGCTGTGTCACCGACCCCTGCCAGGCCGACACCATCCGCAACGACATCACCAAGACGTGCACAGACGAGCACAACATCTCACGCTTCAGTGGCTCCTCCTGGATTAAACATGGTACCGAGTGCACCCTGTGCCAGTGCAAGGTAAGGTGCCAGCCCCGCCGGCAGCCTCGAAACAGCAAATTACAGTTCGCCTAGTTCAATGGCAGACACCAAAGAAATATGGTTTGGAAATTGAGAATTCTTTGTGCTTTGTCAGAAAAAAAAGTACCGTACACTGCGGTCCAGACTCCGCACTGTGGAGGCAATTTGTGCATCTTCAACACCTCGTGGCTGTATTTATTAGACGTGATGGTAAATATGTCTGTAAGTGTTGATGCAGCTGTTTTTGTGCTTGCTCTGATCTGCACACAAACCTTTTGCACATTGAAAAAACTAATTTCACCAAAGAACAGTAATAGAAAGAACCAAACACGGAGAAATAGATTAATAAAATCTATTTAGTACACCAAGATACACATTGTACCACATGATAGCG